AAAAGAGCGACATTTTCCTTAGGAAAATCTTCCGATAATTTCCAAGATTTTATTAGTAGATTCGATATGTCTTCTTTTAAATTAAATTGATGCCACGAGCAAATTGTTGTGCATTTGCGAAGTGAATAATACTAGAGATTCAAGTTGACAGTTGATTCGCATACATATATGCAACCTCACGTTGCGAACGCATATTCAGAGAATGGAATAGATCTTGTTTGCCTGCGTGTCAACGATACCTATTATTGTCGATCCTTATTTGCATGGTCAATAACGTGAGGAAATCTGCTGCCGCCCCTTTCCGCCCAGGAATTGCAGAGAGGATTTGTGTGCTATATTCGATGCCAAGGGGACCATCGTCGCATCGTACTAGGGGGCTTTTCAGGGGCGCACCGATAAATCAGGAGCTCACAACTGTGGATCGCTGTCCCAGTTCGCAATAGCGCACGAATCTGCCTTGAGAGAGAAAGAGAGAGACAGAGAGAGAGAGAGAGAGAGAGAGAGAGAGAGAGAGAGATATACATCGATACAAAATTTCGTGGCACGCAATTCCGTTAACAGCGGAATGCAATTCTCGCGGCTTTCATTTCCTCCTTCGTATGACGGCCCGCGCGAAATGCGATATCGCGGTCAAGAGCCTTGGTAAATTGAGTTTGAATTAACAATTATAGCTACCAAGTACGAGTACTATTATATACATTGTGGCAGATAGAACGTTTCTTCCAAGATATCTAATGACAGATACGTTTGTCTATATGCGATATAATTTTTTCCAATTTAACAGAGACAGAAAGAAAAAGAGAATTTATACATGTGTGTATGAATTTAATTTGTAATAAAACAATATATTTTTTTTTGTACATTGTATATTATATTTACATTATATTATTAGACTATCGTTTATTTTAAAGCTCTGATGTAAGAAAAAAAAATGTGAATATATATTTTTTTAATAATAATTGTTTTTTCTTTATTAAAAGAATTGTCTTTGTACAAGATTGTTATTGTTATTTGTACAAGAATAAGAGATTGTTAATTACAATCATAATACAAATACGAATTCTGTTATAATTCAAATAACTCTCTCTTAATTATTACAATTAGATTAGCCGCTTTGTCATTTGGTATTTAATTACACTACAATTAAATCAACTTCTGTTAATGTCTACCATTAAAATTATCTTGATTTCTTCTGTTAAGCTTTTATTTTAAAGCAACATTGACATTAAAATGAGGGCATGCGATTTATTATATTTTGAATACTTATATACTTATTTATAGTAAACTCCAAATTATTAGAAAAAAATAGCATACTTAAAAATAGATTTAAATATATAATAATAGATTTAAATAGAATTAAATAAATTAAACAAATTATAGCTTTATAATTAGATAAAAGATTTGTATAACATTATATGAAAAAATATTTATAAAAATATTAGTATTTATTTTACAAATTTAAATTTACAAATTTATATTTAAAATTTATGTGTTAAATTTGTTATTGATTGACAAAAAAGTAAAACATTACACTTTCCTCGTTTATATTAAAGTCTAACTTTACAATAAATTTAAATTTAACAAGTTTCGAGAAACATAATATTGATGAGCTATGTACTACAGTTTATACGTGTCAACACTTATCATACTGTAAGGGTTGCAAGCCATCGTAAACAGATCATAGAGCGCATATAAGGTTTCTCATTTCATTTAAAAAAGAATTGCTAGTAAGAATTGCTGATCGATAGCTTTTAGAGCTACTTCCTTCTATTTTAAGCCATGGTATTCAGATATTAACTGTAAAATTTACTATTTAAGTCTAAGATATTTAATATTGTATCTTAAGATTACATCGATATGTGGCGTATTGCAGTATCATATATTCATAGAGATATATAACAAAGGATTCTCGTATAATCGTTCTCCGTATTTCATTGTTTCTTATCGTGACGTTCTAACTATGAAATACGTCACCCGGGAGAATCGCTCTTGCTCATCGTTCTCTCTCTTCGAGAACTATATAGGTATACAAGGACGTTAATTACGTTTGTACCAACAAGATATAATTCACTGTGCAGAGACAAAATTTCATCATTCCGTTTAAACAGAGAAATTCTCATTATATTACTATACGATCTCTAAAGTACTTATTAATGATTCAAACATAAAAAAGCA